ATCCAGAACAGCCCACTCCTCCCCTCCCCTCCGCTATGACCCTGTCCAAGCCGCTGCCTCCTCTTGCCCGGATTACGCAATGCCTCCTACCTGGTTTGCTTTCACCACGCCTGCCTCTTTACATTTTCTAATAATCACATTAAAACACAAGCCTCCGTTCATTTCCCATGCTGCTGAAATTTAAATCTAAAATCCTTTGAGGCCTAAAATACCTGGCATGATTGGATCCTCCCCACCCATCTCTCCTGGGCTGAGCCCTGTCTCCTCCTGCCGTGCACAAGGTCGCTGTGGTTGGAACTGACTCAAGGACACCTAACAGCAATAGCACTTGCATACAGATGTCAAAGTCCTGGAAGCCCAGGGGCACAGTTCGACTCTGTTCTACAGGCTTGGTATGAGTCAGCATTGACTCGGTGGCAGTGAGTAAGAGGTCTGTCTTTATTTTAAAGTATTGTGTAGTTACTCTTTTATAAAAATCCTTTGAGTTGCACACACAAATTCAGTTTTATCTTGTTCACTTATATTAAAACTGTTATCTTTTTGGTATTTCCAGCTAGACCACAGTCTTACAGGAATGTTAGCCATTTAGAGAAATCAGTTGGATACTGAAAAGATTAAATACGAATGTTCTAACTTGGAGGTTACCAAAGACAGAATGGGCTAAGAATCTCAGAGGGGAAAATGAACCCATAAATAGATATGGAGGCACCACCTTAACCAAGCCATAAAACTTGGGATTGTTAGTCGGCAAATTAGTTAGCTTGTGCCACTACTTAACGTATCCTTGTCAAACGGCGCACTTGCATCTGATGACACCTCTAGGCCTAATGTGCCGTGTATAGAAAATTCAGGTTGTAAAGGAACTAGTTAAAGAGAAGACACTTTGACAAACCCAGGTAGTTTAAGAACCAAAACCTAACTCCATTGCTACCGAATCAATTCTGACTCAGAGCAAGACTGCAAATCTGTGCAGAGGGAAAAGATAGCCTTGTCTTTCTTCCTCAGAGGGGTTG